ATTTTAAACATGACAGCATTTCTTTGCATTTCAACTTTGACATAGACAGTCCCTCCATGTAATCATGTGCTATAAACAAAAGCAGCAAGTGGAACAGCATTTATGTTACTCTCTTGTTTGCTTGCATGGCACCGTGAATTCTTGTAGAAAAGGGAATCTATAAAATTTTTGCAAGATTAAGGTGTAATTTGTGTTAAATAGGTGCAACAATTCTGCCCCGTAAGGCACCTCTTAGGTTTTGGCTTTTGTTTTGTTCGAGCTTTTTTAAACGTTACTGCAAAAAACTTTCATTAACTGCCATTTAGATAGACTGTCTTCATCATCGCCCCAAAACAGGATAGATGTAGAAACACAATGGGAAGGAGAAAATGAAAAAAACCAACACACAGCAAGCAAACCAAAGAAACCCTTAATGTACCTCTATGTCAACATTTCTTGCATGTTAGTTTTTCTTCTGAGTGGACACTGGTAAGGCACATTTCCGTCCTAAAGAAAAAGCATAATACTAAGAACACATTAATTTCATATGTAACGCATAAATTCTTAATAAAACGTAGATCAATCTCCTGTGGGTATACGGATGTACGAAACGGGGTTTTGCTCAACGTTTATAAAATCTACAAAAAGCTAAAGAACAAGAGGTAATCACTTACGCTCCGACATTCCTCAGAGGCAAGCCAGAAAGCGCAGGTTTTTGAGTAAATTAGTCCTACCACTGATGCACAAAAAAAAAAAAAAAAACCCACCCACACCCCTACCCCCAGCCGCTCTCCCGCACCCGGACCGGCGCTGCGCCCGCCCAAGCCGCGAGTGTGCGTTCCCGCCGCGCCGCTCCCCCCCCACCGGAACCCAGCGTGGCGTCACATGGTATGGAATACCGGGCTCTGTTTGGCCAGGTGGGGTCAGCCCCCACCCCCCGGCTGTGCCCCTTTCTGGATTCCGGTGAAAATTAACCCTGTTCTGGCCAAACCCAGGACACTATGGTAGGAGTTCAAGTAAAATTGCTCATGCTGTAACGCTTAAATGTGAATGTTCGTGTATTAAGAATTCATACGGAGAAGGCTCCATATGTGGTACAGATGTATTCAAAACATGCTGGACACTATTAGCGCTAATAGGTTTCAAGACTCTCTTGCCAAGCTAAATACTGATCACAGTTTCACCAGTGTCAAATACTGGGAGGATGTGGCGTCATCGCGCCTTCCACATTTGATGCCCATGTCGGGTATGGTTGGGCTGAAAACAGCTACAAAACGTGGTGGTGTTTAGGCTCTCTCCCCATCCTCTCCCCAGATGCTGGCAACTGGTGCTAGTTGTTGTGCTGACAGAGCTTTCTTGGGTGGGAAAAAATGTTAAACATTCAAAAAGATTAAATACTTGATTTAAGACTGTAAATCGGCTTGTTGCATCGTGTATCCAGTGGGCTAACAGAAGCTGTCTCTTGTTGGAGATCGCAGCTGTAAGACGCAGCACAGGTACTGGAAATCTGGTTTCAATGTGGTGACTTTCGACTCGCTGGGACACATTCGTAAATGAGTCTTCAGTGCTTTGATTTGCTGTTGTCTCTCTTTAGAGAAACACAGCAATGTGCATCACTATTTACATTAACACTTCTTACATTTATTTTCAGACCAATAAAACTATTCTGATTCTGTTCTGATGCTTAATAAACATAACATCTTTTTCTGGGAAATGTCTAGATACAAGTTAGTGTTAACTTTTTTTTTTTGGATATGTGTGGTTTACTCAATATGAATATTGGTTTGTGCAGTGAAATCAGGAAATGTGGCATTGTCATTTCTATAGTGATCTTGCTCTTCTTGCGGTGTCTAGACTAGCAAACAAATGGAAATGACATTATTAACGTTTGAAACTGGTCTTGTTATCACCAGAGAAAGTGTTCTACTTTGCACTTGAAGGTCTGTCTTTAGCACTGTTGCACTGGTTCCAGTGCATGCTCCCCTCTTGGTCATATGGTAGTATTTGGTAGCAGGTTTTTCAGTCCAAGTTGGAGAGCCTGCTGTACTAAGGACTTGTGTTTTACGCGCTAAACAAAACTCTCCAGAGCAAAGAACAAAATGAAAACAAGAATCATGTGTCCTTCATTGCATTGCTCAGACTTGTTCGTATCTCTTTTCGTAAATGATTTTGGTAGCTAATGTGTTTTCCAGTGCTGTCATAAACCTGAACTTCTGCAGGTTGGTAAGGGGTGTGAAATTTAGAGTAGTGAGTTCATGACCTTCTCTGCTACCTTTCTCAGACTCTGTTATAAGGCAAGCTCGCAGGTCGGCCTAAATTGGGGTCTGTATCTCCCTGGATAATATCTGCTGTGATCTTCAGGCTGCAGACTGAAAACTGCAGACTTGTGTGTGTTATTACTTCATTGTGTTTTGGAGTATTTGGTTAGCGTTGAAGAGTTTTTGAACTCCTGAAAAATCATTGATACTTGATGACAGCCCATGCTCTTTTCGTTTGTAGCTGCTTTCTGTGAGCAATTACCATCAGAAATGCTGTGATAAAATTGGCATCGTATCACAAACGCTCCTGGAACGGGATCAATAGGCAAGCAGAATTCACAGCAAGAGGGACACTCGGTGTGCAGAAAAAACTCAAGAGCAAATGAGGAGAAACATAGTGGAAAAGGTGAAGCTTACACGAGACTGTAAAGATGCTGAGAATAGTTATGCAGTAGGCAGAGTATGTGCTGTGCTGTGCTGTAATCTGTCCAGTTAGTTATGGATAAACCTGAACTTCACACTAAATGCAAATTGAATATTATTTATATGCTGGCTCTGTGGTGGAAGGCATCCATCTTCTACATCTAGGTGGTCTTGAGCTGGTGTTTGCTGTACAGCTTTCAGCATCATTAAATTCTACTTCACTGCCTACTGAACTTAATTTCCTTACTGTTTTCATTTATATAGCCAAAGTATCTCTTCCTCTCTGCTCTGTAGACCTCTTTTAACAAACTGAATAAAAAGGTATGGCTTCAAAGGGCTTGAGGGACATACGGGAGTGTGTGTTGTGGTGAAACAGTGTTATCTGTGTTACCTGTGACTGAGAGGCTTCAGTGTGTCTGGATGCAAGAGAAAGCAGAATTGAGTGGTGATGCCTTGAAAAGCCAGAGTTGAAGACTCAATAGTCGGCAGACTATTAAGCAGGTATTCTTTATTGCGGCGCCGGGCACACGGGGGATCTCTCCTCCAAACGTGTGCACCGAAGAGACACAGTTACTAG